ATATATACATGTACATTGGTATAACATAAGTATTAATTCATATGTATGTATATGTAAGTATGTACGATGTATGTATGTATGTATGTATGTGTGTGTGTGTGTGTGTGTGTGAGAGAGTGTGTGTGTGTTTGTGTGTGGTGTAAATAAATACGTATAATGTATACGTATACATGTGTAAATAGAAACGTAAAATTTATACGTATATATGTATGTGTAAGTAAGTAAATACGATGAAAATGTGTATTTATGGGTACATAAGAACGTACATGTGATGTTAATATAAATGTAGATCTATTTATGTATTGCATGTGCATACACCTGTCTCTGCGTATGCAATATTTCTATACACGTAAGTATAATAAGAGATTACACGTATAAATATGCGTGGAGGTTTGTGATATAGATAGAAGAAACGTATATAAAAATTGAAAACATGTATCCTATCGATTGTTCCGTATACTTTAAAAGGACGTTATTGCAGAAATTAACATTAATGCAAGGAGAGAACCTTTTGTAACATTTAAATATCGATTGATATGAAACGAAAGGTCTAACAACTATAATATAACTAAGGATTTAGTTTTTCTTTCTTTTTTTTTTTTTTTTAAAGTTTTAACATTGAAATAAATAATATTCAATAGCAAAAAAAAATGATATATCGATGTTACGATAATCGAGAGATTAATCGAGTAATATCATTATTATTATTAATATGCATAAATAATAAAGATTTTAAGATAGTTCGAGATCATTCAAAGAATATAAATAGGCAAATAGCAGTTAGTTAGATTAACTTGGCACACGATGAATATGGAAAAAAAAAATAATAATGACAAATTATTAATTATCTAACTTTCATCACGTGACAATAGTAGGTAGACATGTTATATAGTAGGTATATATATATATATACCTTGAAAGATAATGTCTTTGATAGGCGTATCCGTTTGAAAATTATCCTAGAAGCTTTACGTTCACGTAAGATGAATCATTTTGGATCGAGGATATATGTGATCTTGTGAAAGCTTTGATCCTTGAATAATCTTTGATATTGAACAAAAATGAGATTACTTATAAATGGTTTGAGATCAAACACGACTTTGGTTAACGATAAATAAATATATCTGATATTTCGGAATTTTCAAAGATCAACTTTAATCTAAATAAATAGTTTCTATAAATATCTTACAAAACAAGCAGTCAATCAATCAATCAATCAATCAATCAATTTGTTTTAAATAATATATATACGAGAAATGTTCATTCAACAAGTACATATCTTAGTTCTCTATTTTTTTATTTTTTTTTTTTTGAAATCAAACGTATAAAAAAATTCAAATATGTCGAGATTCATGATAATAATTATAAAATAATAAAACTAAATAATACATTTTATTTTGTGTTTCTTCGAAAATGATCGAAGAAACAAAGAAAAAATATATTTCTTGGATGACGAATAATAATACGAAATAGTGATTAGAGTTGAATTCATCGTTTTTTCTTTTTAGTTTCTTTTTCGAAAATCAAAACCGGTCTCCTCTTTGATCGAATAAACAATTATTAAAAATTATAGAAAATTAATAACGTTTAATTTATAATACAAAGAGAAATAAAAAATAAAAAGAAGATGTATAAATTAAAATCGGTCGGCTATTTTTTGACTGGAGCTTTAAAAATATGAAAAAAAAAAAGAAAAACAAAAACAAATGTAACAAACTTGAACGCAAAATTGGACAAACAAAAAAAATTGTCAAAAATATATATATATATATATAATTATACCAATAATTCGATCATTTAAAACAATGATATATTCGATTAATATTAATGTTTATTGTTCTCGATCTAAAAGTAAAAGGTAGTCGTAAGTGTATACTAGATTAACAAGGTGTGCCATAAATTTTAAACCGGATTCAAACGGGATAAGGTTATTGCTCGTAAGTTGATCGTTTACCTAACATCTGTGGTTATATAACGTTTTATTTAAAAAGCGAATAGAAATAATGTAATTTAATGCGAATGATTGAACAAACAACAGGGGATATATGTGTCTATAATTATGAAAGTGGTTGTAAGTCATATATCTCTTGTTTCGATATAATTAAAGGATTACATTTGAAACCCTAAATGAATTCTATATAATATTGAAATAACAAATACTATCTAACGGTTCATTTTTGACAATATCGTGTGAAAATTACGAATGAATTAATTTAATTTAAAATAATGGGATGTGAAATAATTGATAAACTGATTTTTTTTTTAATTTTAACTTAGACCACTTTCATAATCATGAACATATATTACTCTAACATCGATAATAATAAAAATAATAATAATAATAATAATAATCCTATCTACGGGAAATAAATTTTTTTTATTACGATAAATCTATAAGACTGGATCCTTCGGAAATTCAAAGGATTTCCGTTCGGATCGATATTACCGATTAATCGATAATCATCTTGACCTTCGATAAATGAAACGATCAACCACGATGAATTATTATTACTCCTCTCTATACATTTAATTGAAACATTAGACATTATAGTTTATTATACATATATATATATCTTCATGTTCAGAACTAACCGGATGCGGTAACACGAGAGAATCCTCTTTTGACCTCGACAAAATTATTGTTTCTTTCATATTTATAATCTTTCAGATCAACGTCAAAGATCATCATCGCGTCGGGTCTCGGTTGCATTATCAAGGTCACGTCGAAACAATTATATTGTTTATACCAAGTAAGGTTCATCGAGCTGAATCTATTGTATTATACACAATGTTATTAGATTATAATTATGTATTTTATAATTACGAATTGACCGATACAAATTTTGTAATCTTTTTGAAACCAATTTATTGCTGGTTTTTTTTTTGTTTAGGCTGGCAGAAGGTGACAATGGGGTGAAAAGTTTTGAAGCAAATTAATCGATCAAACGAAATATAAATTTATTCGTTTGTTTTGTCGGGGGTGTTACGCATCGTTATTCGTAACTAATTTTTTTCCTTTTTTTAGGGGGGAGGGGAGACTTTTCGAAATAATATTTTTTTCGAACGATACGTTTGTTACAAAATTGTAACAAATATTTTTAATTTACATATTTAAAAATGTATCTCCCTCTTTCTCTCTCTCTCTCTCTCTCTCTCTCTCTCTCTCTCTCTCTTTATCAGATTATATAAGTATTATATGAAATGTATATCGCAAGGATATTATTGAAGATATAAATTATCATATGTGTGTGTGTGTGTGTGTTTGCGTGTGTGTGTGCGTAATTAAAAGTCATGTTAAAAAATACAGTCATTGACAGTAGTATGCGCGATATATTACGTTGTGTTGTTGTATAAGTACCTTTAAAAAAAAAAATCATATTCTACTATTTCAATAGTTTTTGTTTAAGGTTTCTGTGTTTTTTTATTATGTTTTTCTTTTTGTTTTTT